GTATGTATGCATGGATGTATGGATGTATGGATGTATGGATGTATGTATGCATGTATGCATGTATGCATGTCTGCCTGTATGCATGTATGCATGTATGTATGTATGTATGTATGTGTACGTATAATGTAGCTGCATGTATATGCATATGGGAGCAATTACCATCTGGAACATGCTGTGCGTGCTAATCCGGTAGCAGAGACTGAGACTGTGGAAACAAGAACGTATGTGGATTCTATGCGCGTCACACGCACACACACAAACAGACACAGACACTCATCTAGAATCTAAACCTTTAGCGCGACGATCTTGGGCGTGCCGTTTGCAAGTTGGCCAAACCACAAAGCGCCCAGGTAGGGGCACTTCTTCTGCGTTTTCTCCTTCGGCCCGAATTGATTGATTTCCGCTTCTCCAAAGGCTGCCTTCAATAGTTCAAGGTTGTCGTTCCACTCTCTCTCCAGAGCTTTCCAGGCAGCCTCGTTCACCTGGAAGCTGTTGGAGTTCTGGTGAAGCCCTACGAAATAGCTGGTCGCAGTAGATTCTGCCTTTCCAGCCACCAGGCCAATCTCCTTCATCTTCTTCATCCACTCGCTGTTGTCCATCTCGAGAAGGACCTCGTAACCGTGACGAGGCTCGGTGAGGTAGCTTTCCGAGTATTGCATGTTGTTTCCCCACGGCTGGCCAGAGGTGCGTGAAATGGCGGCAGTTGTGCAGCCTAGCCAACTTCTTGCCTCTTCCAACGACATTGCACGGTAGAAGTACCTTGTATCATCCATTTTCCTGGGGCACCCCGGATCCTGGAGATTGGGAACCATGGCTTTCCCCATGAAAATCCGTGAGCCATCAGCCCGTTCATGATCATGATCTTGTTGAAGGCCAAACCTTCGAATCCACTCCTCCTTGGACTCAATGCCTGCCATGTACTTTACCGGGAAGCAATAAAGTGCTCAAATCTTCTTCAGCCGAAATGGCTAGGGTTTTTTTTTTATGGCTAGGGTTTTTGAGTTTGGGGTTTGAACTGACGAACTCCCGTACAAACTCCACCTGACTGGAGTATCATTCAGCAACTTGAATACACTTGCCTGGCGACCTTCTAGCTTCTAAATTGCCCTTCGGCTTGGGCCTCGCTCAGAGGCTTTTGCTGTTGCGTCGGGCTGCAAGACCTCTATGAATCAGGGGAAGCGAACCCGAGACACGAAACTGGACTGCGCGATGTTCCACAAGGACGACTGGGAGGCTTGCCTTCAAGACTTGTCAAACGAAGACAATGATGGCTCATACCTATGCCTTTGCCTTTTTCCAAGACGAATCGATGCCAAAGACGCCAAAACCTCAAAGAGCCACACAGGTGGCCACATGTTCTCCTTTGCTGAGCCTGCGGCAGCACCCGGATGCACCGCTCAAAAGAACAGTGCAAGTGCACCTTCTCAGCCCTGAAAGGAAGGCTTGTTTGTCTGTGCAGAATCATAAGTCAGAATCGTAAACATGGTGCAGCACGCTAAAATGAGCCGGAAGCAGCCTTGGGCACCGGGCAGTCTCAAGCTGAGGCAGAAAACAAAGACAGAAATAATTGGGAACACCTGGGAGGCACAGAACAGACGCCAGCAGAATCCTCTGATGAGCAGCATAGGCAACAATACTTCCTGCAAGCACCTTCAAAGCACTGCCATTAATCAAGCTCCATATAGTTTAAGGACGCCTCCTGGCCAAGACGGTCCGCGAAGAGACGTGGAAAAGCAGCCAGGCTTTAGCCGTGTCTCCGCTATGCGGGGCTGCTGTCCTCATCGGGGAGCCGTGGGTGGCCTGAATTACTTGTTTTGGCATCTTTGCACGCAGCACTGGGCCCTGCGGGCTTCAGCAAGCTAGGCGGCTTTGCAGACGGACGTGCACCAGCAAGCACCTAGCGATCCCGCCGGATGTATTTTTACATGGTATCTTGCAATGCCGCCTGCGCCCACTACCGGCAAGGAAGAGACAAGGCAGGGAACCAAAAGCCTTGTCCTGAAACTTGGTCCCCGACTAGGGCAATAATGATTGCTAGAAGCCTTCACGAGCAGTTGGCTAGGTGAAGCTGGACCAGCGCCAGCGTCATCAACATGGCTCCTGCCACGTTCGTGGAGTGACAAGCTCCAATCACAGCACCTCCGTCCAGAAGGGCAACGCCCTCAGTGCGAGACGTTGTGGTTGTTGTCGTCATGTTGCTCGAGAGAAAGCCACCTGGAGTGCTCAGCGGCCCTTGATGCAGAACATCTCATGCTTTGCTTCACTTGTGAACCAGATTTGAAATTCGATCTAGCAACCCTACAGGCCCATGATTTTGAACTCTGAATATCCCGAGCATGTGGGCGCCTTGACCACCCAATCTGGCGCCGCTACTCGTCGTGGCAGCTGCAGCCCCGCCACTGGGATGTTCAGGATGGCATGCGCCGTCATAAGTCTGCCGGAAGCGGGTAACCTCATCAGATGATGAGGATGTAGCAGGATTCGTGTAGCGAATTTTGTCCATACCGAGATCCAGATGACCCAAAAACACAAACTACTAGAATTTATGTATTGAGTTGAAACTGTAGCCCACCTGGCGCTCTTCCGCAGGTACACGGTACTCGTGGATCCCATGAGTGACTGAGCCAACCTCGCAGCTCTTCAGGAAGTCCACCAGAGCCTCTGCACATGGTCCCGTGAAGAGGACGGGTGAGATGAGCAACGGCTGTAACCAAATAATCCGGTTAAACTGCCTCCGTTTTTGCTAGCAACCTGAAGGGCAGCGGAGTGCTGTTTGAGATCGCATGACACCTCTGAGCAAGCAAAAGATCAGCCGCTGGAGGCTCGAACAACTAATGAAAACAACTCAAACACTGCACTTCTTGCTTCACCCCTGAGCATTTTCTCCCGTGCCTGCTCAGTCGCGTTGTAGCCACGGTTCTCATCCGCACTGCAGTGGCCGCATGTCAGTGGGCAGTACCTGATCGCACAGTTGCACCCCTTGTCGCAATCTTTTGAAGCTGCAGCCTCGCTCCTTGACTGTCCTGGGTTGCGAACTCCAAACAAGCGAAACAATTTCCTGATGCCGTACCTTTTGAAGATCCAGGTGCTGGGCTGTAGAGCTGCAGACATGGGGAACTTCGTGGCACAAGGCAGGACGACAGGAAGCTTGGCAGCGCGTAGGGCCATAGCCCTTGCCACCACCTGGAAATTCCCACAGGACTTTCGCAAAAACTGGGCGGTTCTGCATGACATGCCATGGTGTCGCATGTTACTGTGTTGTGCCGAAGACCTTCGGCCTTAGACTGCTCCCCGTACCAACGGAGAGCATTGCCCTAACATGTCATGCCCCTTGCCTGCATCCACTGAATCGAAGCAGGTGTCCGGATTGGGAGGAAAAGGCTGGAAGCACGGGTCATCGGTAGGAAGCTCCACAGAGGACACCAAAACAAATTCGCGCGTGATGTCGACCTGTTTAGCGCACTCGACCTCGCACACCTTCCACCTCTTGATGGTCGTGCCCCTGCCTGCATAGATGATGGCACATCCATCTATGACGCGAGGTGCATCGCCTTGCGGCGTGATGAGCCCTCCCTCCATGGCCCATAAAGTCTTGACGATGCGAACGCTATCATCCACGATCATCAACTCCGTCCGAATGATCTGCTCGCGCCAGTCGCTGGATCGGTCATACCAGTCAGCTGTGACGACACTGATGCAAAAGTCAACATCTGCAGCAATCTCTCTGCAATCGGCCTCAGTCATGGGCCTCGCCAGCCACTGCTCCCACATCAGGAGGATGCGGTTGGGGGCCAGTCGCACACTCTTCGGCTTGTTCATTATGAGCCATTTGTGCTTGTAGTTCGTGAGCCAATTGATGCCGCGGTGCGACTGCGATGTCCATTCACCACCGAAGTCGTAGAAGCCCCCTGTCTCGGTTTCGGTTGCACCGCCGGAGAGCACCTTCTTTGGATCGCATGTATTGTTTAATTGCACAATCACTGCTTCAAGCTGCTTCTGCAGCACACCAACGCCTAGACCTAGAAACAGATGTGTTGCAGAATCGCACCTCCTTGGCGGCAATGTTCTTGCCAATCTTCACTCAGCCCAAGTTGCGAGGGGACTGCACTGTCTGCTCGTGGGTCTCCATTGCACTGCTGTCCAGTGGCGGCCGCTCGCCAGCGAAGAAGATGAGGTATCCATCGGACACCTCAACGATTCCAGGTTGAGCTAACACAGTATAGACCTGGTTGTCATTACTCCACTTGTAGAAAGTGTTTCCGTTCACGGATATCTCAGGATACACAGGAAAACTGCTGCCAGCCGGATTTTCGGGTCCAGATCCATGCCGCGTCTTGAACATATAGGGTGTAAAGCCCAAGTCCTCATACAAAGCATCCGCTACTGTACACTGTAGACAACCTGCAAAAAATGCCGCACACGCCCAAACGTATCTGACTCAGCGACCGTCTAGATACAGATGGTGACTCATGTTCGTACAATTCAATTGCACGCTGCGCGAGCGGACCCCACGCATAGCGGGCATGTTACCGCTAGACTCTAGACACGCACTAATGTGAAACCGATCCGAAAATCAAACGGAGCTGAGCTTCAGAGCTTCAGTGCAGTCGCAACTCAGGGTGACTCTTGGTGACCGATCCACGTTATGCTGCCCCGTACCTCTTAGGGCCGACAGGCACTTGAGACTTTCTTCCCATCTCCACCGAACAGGGTTGCCTGCGGCGGCTGCCCCATATCCGGATGGACCGACGAGCACATGAGAGGGTCAAACGATCTCCACACAACAGGACCACGGTCTGAGTCCGGAGCAGTACTAGCTTGGCCGTCTGCAGTAGCACCTCCCAGCAGTCTCCTGCTGGCACCGGAGAGCAAAACGCCTTAGGCAAAGCCACCGCAACAAAGGTATTTGGGTGGCCAGAAGCCCCGACTTGTAGTGCTTGGTAAGCCGGAGGCTCGCTGCCGTTGGGGTGCCCTGCAGTGTAGACAACACGGCAACAAGGCTGGAGACTGCTTTGTCGGCTGAAACTGCAGGTTTGGCCGGAACAGTTGTGCAGAAAACTGACACGGCGGAGCACGAGGCAAAGCTAGGCCCAAAACACTTTAGCAGGCTGCTCTGTCTTGCGAAGCAGTAAAAACATTCAGCTACAAGGCTTAAAACGGCCCGCGGAGCTGGACAGGCTGGTTTCGGACCCAGCTGTTGCACCAAAAACAAGCACTCAAACGGACTTTAAGAGAGAGATACATGCCAAAGATGGCATGCCGGTTCAACGCGAATTCAAGCAATGGAAGGGACTACGAGACCACCGTCAGGCGCGTGCACGCGCCCGGATCGTCTCAGGGAAATCACTCGCACTGAGGAGCCGCAATTACAGGATCAGACTCTGATTCAGCTCCAACAGCTAGCTGCTCAGGAGACAGCGCAACTGCTGCAGCACCGCTGCGTCCGTTCTGCACGCATGCTGAAATGACTTTTTCCTTATCTGGAAATAATTTCGTGAGTGCACTGGCAGCAATGCCATCCGCTGCTTTCGCCACACAGCAATCAATGCAGTAGAATGTAGCTTCCTCCACCGCGCGGAAGGTGGA